ACTCAGTACACCCCTGTCACACCTTCTGTTCCCAGTCCTCTCAGCAGGATTAGCTGGGAGTACAGCTGTCATATCTGACTGTAATGTCATATTTGGTGGGGTATTATTCAATCAAATACAAAGTACAAGTTAAAATAATCTAACAGGTGACAGAACACCTTTATAAAGATTGAGATATCTATTTTGCAAAATTTTTATTCTATCTGTAGACCGACAGAAATGGAAGAAACTCAGTAGCTGCATTGCATGGCCCCCTAGCAGTATTCCTGAAGTATATTTTCCCATGGGAGTTTTGTTCATTGGTTAGGTCAAGGTTCGTTTGTTTGTTTGTTTGTGGTTTTTAAATAACTAAAGCTGGGTAGAAACTAACAGCCTTTTGCTCTCCCACTGAAGAGCATTGGGTTGTTTTTCCAGCAGTTTTCTTCCAGGAGTTTTGTCTCACTTCCACTGCCTCTCTCCCAGATTTGCTCTCTAGAGGTCCCTTGGCTTGCAAATAGCAAAACCTTTCTTTGGGACAGTACTTTGTCTCCCAACCCTATTAGGATGTATCAGTCTTCCCTACATGCCCTTTCTTGCAGAAAAAGTCATTTTGCTTGATCATATCTGGAGCTCCACAGACTTCTTTTTCTCCCCAAAACAGAACATTGTTGCAAGGTCTGTTTTCTCAAAAATTTGAAGCCTCCTTTTCTCAAAGCATGGAGTTGAAAGTCTGGGAGCCCTTGCCTTCATCAGCCTTTTTGGGATTCCCAGATTCCCTGTAGAGCAGAATTTGGGGTGCTGAGAGCTGCAGGAGGTCGCTAGGCTGGGTGGCCATGGGTGACCCTTCAGGTGGGGCTGGGAAGCCTCTGGCTGCCATGGGGCCACTGCCTGAGCACACCAGGGCTTGGCTTGGGTGGGTGTTGAAAGATGAGCTGCTAGCTCAGGGAGTTCCTTTCCCTTTAGTGGCTCTTAAGGCACAAAGTTTCTGTCACCTTTAGAGGTGATTTACCACTGTGATAAATCTCCCTGATTTGTATTAGGCATTTATTCTTGTAACAGTCTCATTTCATAAATCATATATATAGCCATAACATAAATTCCCAGTTAGGTACTGGATAAAAACAGAATGAGGAGTTCAGCATTTTTCTTCCTTTCTCATGTCTTCTGTATTCAGGTTTTTGCACTGACTCATGTAAATTCTGCTGAGCAATATTTATTCATAACTGCTCACTGAAAAAGCCAGTAAATATGAGCACCTGATTTTTCCTGAGGAAACACATTGATACTTGTGTAAACTTATATATATATTTGAAAATCTATAGCATGGATACTAAGAATATTTTTCCTGTCCTAACATTCAAATTTCATGCATAAAAGAGTACTCGATTGAAAGTCTGGATTTTTACCAGCACATGACATTGATTCTATGTGTAACTGGACTAATTACAGATATAAATTAATACAGAACACAGAAACAGAAGTATTTATGCATGTCTAATTGTTTCATGTGGGTTTGATCTTGTTTTATTAAACACCTTATTGATGTACAAGTCCTGCAGTAAGACATTTGTAGTTTCCAATAGATGTAGAATCCTAACAGGTATAACAATCTTTCTTTACTAGCACTGCAGTATGTTAAGAATTTTTTTATTATGTTCACTGTAATGCTAAAAAGAAAAAAGTATTAGAAATTAATCACTGTAATTATGTGGTCAATGCATTACCTATTTAAATTCATGTTTGGAAGCTACTTTGCTGAAAAACTCCTACAGGAAATCCTAACATACACTTTCTTGTTTTATGATCAGAGCTAAAATAAAGCTGCTTCACTGAAAATTATATGGAAAGCCTTCCAGGGAAAAAGACAATGCCAGGTTCATCCTCCATGAGAAAGATCATCAGGTGGCTTTTTGTTGATTTCACCCACATTCAAATACATGTTAAAGTTGCAAAACTCGTGACAAAGTGTTTAAAGACTATTGCAAAAATACAGTGCTTTGGTTGGATTGCTTCTGGCAGTGGTTTGCAAGCTTCCATGTTTGTGCACAGGCTAGTACAGACCCATCTGGCTTAGTGATTCTGCAGGGTACCTTGCAGAGACTGACCCTGAGAAGTGGTTGGTGAGATGTCAGTACTGTGATCTCTGCTCAGACCCAACTTATGTAGTCAAAACATAATACAGCATAACACAGCTTCCTTCAGCCCCAGGCCCACAGATTTGTATCTCAAAGAGCAGTGAGTTCCAGGAGAAAGGGTCTCCTTGAGCACATCCCTGACATCTTGAAATGACTGAGGATGGAATCCTGGGGCTGTAAGTTCAGCTCATCTCAGGTACCATCACTGACTGTGACTTTAAGGTTTACAGTTTTCCTTCAGCTCTCCCAAATTTCTTTTTCCCTTCACTCAGTTGCAGAGTGTGTTTTTCAGTGTGTGGCCCTTGGGAGGCATTCACATGCCCTCCTCTTCAGCTTAAGGTCGGGTCTGTGCTCTTACAGGCACACAGCAATCGACAGCAGTGACCTGGCTTCATTCCATTTCTTGTTGACCTGACCTGACTTTCACATAACTCATGTATCACTCTTCAGGCTCCTTGGTTCCTCCTTATGATTCTTTTAAGTCATCCCTCCACAGAAGCTGACTTTCTGTTTTGTGGTGCTGTGGTTATACTTCTCTAGACCATGAGAAAGCTGAGAGGTCTGTCTGTGCCACCCTTCCCATTTCTCCACAGAATTTTTGGAAGTTAGTGATAGTTGATATGTTCTTAGAAAATAAATTGGAATTTCAAGGAACCTGTTTCCAAGATAGTGCCCATGCATTTTTATTTCCATTACACTTATGCTTTCTGATAGGTTTCTGTCCTTTCATACTTTTTTTTTTTTTTTTTGCCTCTGGCTTTTTTTCTTGTGTCCAATATGTATTTTTCCAAATGCTGCTTCCAACAGCATATTTTATTATTCTGACAAGAACAGCAACACCTCTGTAGATTGTCCTACAGCAAAGGCATGACAGAATAAATGATCATAAATAATCTTACACAATTTCTGTGTTTCCAGTCCTTCAGTTCCTCTCTCCAAGGGACAAGTGTCCTGGCAAACTGCTTCATATGGTATTTAAAACCCAAACCCGATTCTGACAGAACAGATGTGATTGCTGCCATTTGAACCCAAATCTTAAGAGTATGATAGAATGGCCCCTGGAAGCCACCACCAAGCATTGATAGACCCCGTGTTGCTGGAATTTTGTTAAGTTATGGGGGTTCAGATACTTTTTCTACACATTCAAACTGCTGCTGGGAGAAGTTACCCTTTTTTAGTCACAGAATTCTGATACGCATATGTCTTGTAGAAAGATAAAAAGCTGCAGTTTGGATGGCTTAAACTCTCCATATCTCAGTTTCCTATGTATAAAGTAGGAGTAAATAAATTTATTTATTTATTCTCTATTTTTTGGGTGTAATTTATGCTGTCACTCTTTGGCACAGAAAGTTCTGTTGAAGGCTTTGCTACCACTTCAGATATGCTCTCACAAAAAGTCACCCAAGCTCATCATGGAGAGTAGCTCTTTGCTGCATCACATTGCCTTTCTTTTATGCACATATTCATGGCTTCTGCATCTGGAAGAATGTCTGACAACACTTGTCATCTGCATGTCATGTTGCATGTTTGCAAGTCCCTCTCTCACACTGCTCACAGGAGCTTCGGGTGCATGTTTAAGCTCAGGGCCATTGAGCACACAGGGATACATAAGGATGCAGCCCTATAATGCACTTAGAGATGTATTCCCAAATGTCCAAGGGTAAAGGTAGTGCAAAAGATTAGCACATACACAGAGGAAAGATGTGCAAGGAGAAAACCCAGTGGATGGATAAGTCTGTAGTGGTGCTTTCTTATTAATTTGAAAATCTTTTGGAGGTCAATATTTCTATAGAGGCTTTTGAAAGTAAATATGTCTATAAATATTGTTTTGGTTGTTTACACTATCTTGTTAAAATGCTTAAAACTGAGGAAGGACTTACATAGTCTTACACAGTGAATATGGGTCTTGCCTACAAAGCTGAATGGTGAGACAGGTAATACCAGCACACTTGAGGACCTAAAGGCAGAAACTGGTAAGAGCAGAATACTGGTGTTACTAGTTGTACAGTTCTTCAAACTGTAATGAAATAATTCTACAAGTAGGTATATGTGCAACGTGTAACATTAACTGAATTATGTAGCTGATAAAATAAGATCCAGGTTTTATTCTCTAAAAATAGAAATATTTATATGGAAATATCAGATGGGAATGAAGGAAGCCAAAGATCATAAACTGAGACTCTCAGATATTAGACAGCTACTCCCTGGGGCTTACTGTCAGGCCTGCAATATGCCAGTGCTGTACAAAATAGTCCACTGCCTGAGTGGAAGGAAACACATCACAAATGTGATATTCAACTGCAGTTGTTATTATGGAGGTCAGAGTCCTTGGCTGATGGGAGAAATAGACCTCAGCAGAAGTGCCAGCAGTAACTGGTAAGGGAATGTATTAAATAAGCATCAATGACAAATATACTCATAGGGAAGCAAAAGTTTTGTCTTTTTTATTGCTGAAATAAAGCGCGTAATAATTATAAAAATATAGGAGTTAGTCTCTTTGGAGCCATCTTTCCAACTGTTAAGATCTAAAGGTATTTTGGAGTATCTCTGAATTTTCAATTTCAAGCATTATAGTAGAAACAATAATTCTCATTTTGAATAAACAGTTCATCACATGATGCTCTGGAAGCTGTTGTGTGGATTCACTGCTCTGTTACCTTCTTGTCATCCCTGAAAAGAATGTCAAACAGGAGATGTGATGGCATGAAAGAAAGGAGTGTCACTTCTCTCAAATAAGGTTTTCACAGATCGTATCTGTTTCAGGAGGCCCTGCAGAGAGGTGCAGAGCAGTGCTAGTCATGGAGGTGTGCCTCACAAGGCTCGTTCATCTCTGCTGATGGGTGGGGGACTTTACTAAAACCACTGTCTTGTTGGGCCCTGTTTCAGGTGGGATTCCCTTTGTCCTCACTGGAGAGCTTTTCCAGCAGTCACAGAGGCCAGCTGCATTCATGATAGCTGGGACAGTCAACTGGCTCTGCAACTTCGCCGTGGGACTGCTCTTCCCCTTCATCCAGGTACTCAGCATCCTTGGTAATCCATGCGCACTGATATCACTGCTGTGCACAGTTCCCTTGAGGTTTTGAAAGCCTGACCTAGTCCATGGGGCAGCCCCAACTCCTCCAGCAAGTGGATGTTTCTGTGTGGTTTAATAGGATTTTCTTCCAGAAGATGAGGAGTGACTGTTTTAGTAGGGTTAGATCCTCCCTTCCAGCCCAGCTGGCCAGGCACTTCTGGTTCTACCAGCTGCCTCCATGGCAGCTGGGCAGGGACAGAGAACAAGATCCCAAATCTAGGGACATTTACTCAGAATACTTTTATTTAGGTAGGTATTTTGGTTATTTTTGTTGTTGTTGTTGGTGGTGGTTTTGGGTTTGTTGTTTTTTTTTTTTTTTTTTTGCAGGGGTGTATTTTTTTTTGTTCTGATTTTTTGTTGTTGTTGTTGTTGTTGGTTTTGTTTTTGTTTTTTTTTTTGCAAGGGTGTATTTTTTTTGTTCTGATTTTTTGTTGTTGTTGTTGTTTTGTTTTTGGGGGGTTTTTTGTTGTTTTTTGGTTTTTTGGGTTTATTTTTTAATTATCTAGTGTATTTTTTTTTGTTCTGATTTTTTGTTGTTGTTGTTTTGTTTTTGGGGTTTTTTTTGTTGTTTTTTTGTTTTTTGGGTTTATTTTTTAATTATCTAGACACATTTCTCCAAAATTGCAGTTTCTGCCTCCTGCACAAAACTGGGATAACCGTGAATTCTGCTTAGCTGTCAGATTTTAATTCAGGCATCTCAGGACAATCCCTGCTTGTTCTGCTAATGCTACCTGACAGATCACCTGGTGAAAACTGCTTAAAAAGACACTCAGTAGATTCAAATTAAAAGGCAAACTGCCTTTTATAATTTTCCACATGCATATTAAAGCTTCTTGAGTGATTTAGTATACATCCATATGAAGTTTGCTGTAGCCTTGGGGAATTTATCATTATGTGTCATAAAAATATCCAGTTGTGTGATTAGAAAATTATCCAGTTTAGTTTTAATGAAGATAAATTATATTTCCAGCTTGAAGGTTTTTGGGGGAATTTTTTTCTTCTTTTAAAGAAGAGAGAAATAAAAAGAGAAAAAGCTCAGAGTTTGTACCTAAAGATGAAAGCAGTGTTACTCAGACTTTGATTTTTAAAGCTTTTTCACAAGATCAAACTAGAACATCTCCTCTTTCCTAAGCTTTAACTTTTTTTCCTATTTCAGTCAACCTTATTCTCAAAATTCAGTTTATGAGTCACCACTTTCTTCACATAAAGGCAATATCTTCTTAGCTCATTTTACCTTAACCAGGAAAAAAATCTTTAAGTTACCTTCACAGGATAATGCATAATCCTGCCTGTGTATTTAAATACTAACCTGATTGCTTGAGAAACAGCAGCCACTTTTTTTGATCCTTGGTGTGCTTCTACAAAATTATTCCAAACATTTGGGAAACAAATCTGTTAAGTTTAGGGTTACTAAAAAAATCAACCAGTAGTTAATTTTCCAAATGTCACCAATTAACTAATTTGAATGACTAGATTTTTGCCCTTCAACCATCTGTAGATAAATATAATCAAAAAGTGGCTTGAGTCATACATTAAAACATATGGATGAGATTGAAAAGCAGTAATACAAATCAATTTTTGACAAATTAAAAAAATAAAAGTTGAATGTGGTTTCTCTTCCAGGCCTCATCACTACCTGTTTGAGGTGCTGAAATGTGAACAGTAAATCAGAAAATAGAATGTATATATATGTGGAAATGGGTGCAATGAGCTGAAGCAGGCACAGGGAACAACAAACCTGCAGAAAAGTATAATCTAAAAGGCCAAAAACTTCTGGTGCAGTAGAATAGGTTTCTTGTGTTAAAGAAATACTCTTCACTAGCAATAAGTTTTTAGTGATACACTTCAGTAATCCAGTGGTTTAGCAGAACCTTAAATTACATGTTATCTGGAAAAAGTTTCTGTTTATTTTTTGTAAATGTGTTGCATAAATACAGAGAATTACTAAACATCAATAATTACCAAATAATGTCCCAACCTGCTATTTTCATTACCTGCTGATACATTTTTATTTCATATTTCAAGTTGTGCTATTATATTGTTATGAGGCACTTAAAGACTACATGGTAAATTAGTAATATATTGTAGGGAAATGTATCAGATTTCTCCAGAAGTTTTCTGTCATAATAATTTCTCTTTGTAGAAAACTGGGCAGTCTTTTTGATGTCAAAGTCTCATTGTATATTCAGTACATATTCAAGAAATAGTTAAATTGCTATGTATATTTTTCATTTTCAAGAACAGCTCATCTTCAGACTTTCCTCCTAATACAAAAGTTTCTAATAAGTGGGGAATGCAGAGGAATATGATCAGGGAACTGCTATATGGAAAACTGATTTGACCCTTAACTGGGGTTTGACCAAAATAATCTGATTGGATCAGTGATCCAGAAGGAGCTCAGTATCACATGGGATAAAGGTGCTACAAGCCTTGAAGTCTTAGTTCAAACTGCCTATTAGTACCATGCTAAGACCTTTCAAAAACTAATTTATTTGTGCCTGTGAAGTAGTACTTCTGAGTCATTATACTAGATTCTGGAGGTTTTCTTTTACTTCTGCTTTATTTCTTCCTTAGTTTTACACTAAAGATTTTCATTCTCATGCCTCAAGATTCATTTACTCAGCAAGATTATCTTTTGCTTGTCCTTATTTCCTTACTGTGTAATAGTATCCCTTGACTTTTCCTATTACTTAGCACAAGGATTTCAATAACAGGTGTGCACAGAAAGTTATGCATAGTCTCCCTGAGCAAGGTGTTTCAAGCTTCTTCAAATACATTGGATGTTCCATGTAATGACAGTGTCCCTATATTAGGGGAAAAGGTTGAAGTTCCCCTCAAAGATGAGAAAATAAAATGTGGGCTATCAGAGAGTTAGATATGCTTATCTTAATTAGAAGGAACCCACTTCAGGGATACAATATAAGGATCTGTTACATTTTTATGAAGAGATAGTGAGGGTGTGAAGGTCATGGTTGAAATTGCAGTTCATGTCTAACAATGTATTTTTTACTTAGGAATTACGTTTCATGAGCATTCTACTTTAGTGCTCTGTCCTTCTTTATTGTCTGTCCTGCACTTTCAGCAGAACCTTAAGTTATGTGAACAGAAGAAGGACAAAGGGGAAAGGACACAAGCCCTTATCCATTTGTTTCACTGCATTATATCAATTTGAAGGAAAGTGAACTCAAATGCCTACATGAATAACAGTTTTTTTCTGCTGATCAATTTTGTAAGACATTGAACCATTTTCACTTGACCTCACCACTTCAAAGGCCAGTTTGACCCACATCTCATGACACTAATCTTCATGGCAACTTCCAAGTGCAAGGAGCCTTTGCTGGTGTCAGGGGCTGTGACTTTGCAAGTTGAGTGTTTAGAGTCACATTTGGCATTTGCTGAGAAGAACAAAAAGTTTTGTTTTAAAAATATTAACGTGTTAGGTTTGTTAAATTAATTCAGATTTTTTTCATTTTCTCATTTATTTTGCTGTATCTTCTCTAGAATATATGTTTTCCTGTTTCCAGTATCACAGTCCTGCTTACAATTTAACTTTTGTTACAGAGTGTGTTAAGTCAGTAAGCAGCCATTGCTAAATAGCACGTAATGATCCTCTCAACTCCTTTTAGATTCCTGCAGAATATGGTGTTCACAGCGTGCAACCTATTAACAGGAAGACTGTTCTCAGCTAGATTGCTTCAAAAGTAACAAATTGTACAGGTTTTTAAATTAAAACCAAAATTTTGGCCATTTCAGTGTTAGGATTTTTTATTTGTTTCAGTTTACTTTTTAGCTTTCAAAAATTAGCTCTTTTTCTCATTCATTTTGGGCACTTAAAGTCAGTTCACAATGCTAAAAATTAAGTATTCTTTACAATTGTATTTAAAGGGAGATGGGGGAAATGCCTGTACATTCTCTCTAATGTGTATAGCAGGCCCTCACAAGCTGGGGATAGGTTTGTTCATCTCTTTGCTTAAGAAAATGTGGAAGAGCTGCACCTACTTATTCATACATGTTTCTTATGCAGCTCTATTTCATCCTCAAAGTCAGGCCTGATTGCTTGCCATGCCTGGGATCTGATTTGAGGGAATTGCCCGATTACTTCAACTTTGATTCTATTTTGTGGTAATTGCAGGCATGTCTTAGGTAAATAATTTCTTGGTTTTCCTTTTTTTTCCCACAAATACAAAGCCTTGATTATCTGCAGAAAAGACAAAAATGAGTAATTCAGGATTCAGCTGGCCAGAATTTGCAGAAATGCTGTTTTTCAAATGGCCTCCTTAGAAAGCTGGTATTAAAATAGAAGGTGATGCATTTTAAAGTTTATGCTTAACTATTAAATATCCTGTATAGCAATAGTCTTCACCAGCCTCAAAAATCCAATGTAAATCCTGTTTTGAAGAGGTTTTATTAGTTTGCTGACCTAGTAAGTGCTTCCCTCAGGAGACTGCATCAATAAGTGTGTCTGCTGTTCTTTTGCCCTCCCCATACACCTGATGGAGCAGGTGACCCTCAGTAACTCCAGAAAGCCTGGTCCTTCAAGGATCCTCACTGTGTATCTGCCCTTGTTTGAATGGATATCTACCAGGGGACAGCACTGTTGCTGTTTAGGAATCCACCTGAAACTCTGCTCACCTTTGAACCTTGGGTGTTCCTGCAGGAGGTTATGCTGAAGGAAATGCTAAGGGGAAACAGCTGCAAAGCACAGGCTGTTGTAGAGCTTTGTTCTGACCTCCTCCTGCCCTTTGGGTTTCTAACCATGCTTATAGGAGCCTGGCTTCAGGTTCTGCTAAGGAAACATTCCCAGCTCTGGCAAGGCTGTCTGGGCTTGGGGGAGGAGAAGCAGCTTTGTTCTGAAAAGGTGCAGGGTGTTCTGAACCTGAGCAGCCTGTGCAGGCAGTGTGAAGAGAGCAGCATGAGTGGATGTGTCACTGGGACATGGATGGGGCTGCCTTGGAGCTTCCTGCAAGCCCAGGGCTGCTGCTGCTGCTGCTTGCAGCAGAGTGTGAGGCAGTAACCTTTCCTTACGTGAGGAAATGCAGAACTACAGAAACCACTCACTTTCCTTAATTTTTTTTTTCTCTATTTGCTTAGAACTTCCATTCAGAATTGCTTTGCTTTTACTTCTTCCTCTGACATTCCCTTCCTGTTTTACCTGCCCCTTCCAGCTGTTCAGAGGTGGTATGTTTTGCTAAATTGAATACTTGTATGCACCAGAAGAGTCAAGCTACTCTTCTGGTGGATACAAATATTCAATTTTTTGACCGCTGACGCTCCTACTCCATGTAGCACGTGAAATACTGTCACAAAGCATAGAAAAAGGATTTACCTTTTCAATTTTATCACATATGTTGTCATTATTCTTGTATCACTGACAATGTACATGTCAGTGAAGAATCTTGAGGCCATCCATGTCTGTAGGTCCAAATTCCCAGAGCTGCAGAGTATCCGTGCTTTGTCACCAAAGACTTTAACTGAAGTTCTTCCTCAGCTTTTTACTCCCACCCCAGCCCAGGATAAGCAATATTCTGTGGTTTTACTTCTACAGTAGCAGCAGTAGGCTCACCTCTAGCACACTGGAAGGAGTAAAACAGAGGAAATACAGGTTAATTAGGAGATTATGGTGATTACAGTTATTAGTGAAGTACACGGGTTTCATGGACATAACATAAATAATATCCAGTATAAATTTAAAAAGTACACTTATCTCATGGAACAAAGATCCTGTTTCCTGGCAGATCTGTCTATCAGTACCTTTTCTGTAGTAGCCATTGTTCAATAGCTCAGCATTTACTGCATTTCACCACATTATCTCACCTTCTATGTTCCCTGATGGGCATGTCAGATACGTTTGGGCCAATCTATTGCTTGTTCCACCCCTCAGATCTTTCCTCCAGCACCAGGCAATTCAAAATACATCAAAAACAGATAAAAATGAATTAAACATCCAGGCTGAACTGTATCCCACCTATGTCCCATTTAAGGTTTTTACTGAGTTGGGATTTGTGATTTAACATTTTCCTCCCCCTTTACCCTGTATTTCTGTCTTACAACCTATATCAGTGTGCAGTGCATATGGAAGGTTTCATGTTTATAATGAGTAATTTAATCAGTATGTGATGTTCTGTGCCAAATGCAGGTTTGGGTGATATAAATTGAACTGTGGTTGACTTATAAAAGGCTTATGAATGAGTGGTTTTCTTTGCTGCGAGTGTAAAATAATAACCAGCTTTAAAAAAATATTATAACTGAAGAATGGCTGGTGATGAAAGGGCTTTTTGTGGTCACCCTGCAGTGTTCCTCCTGTCTGGGAATTATGGGCCTGTTGGACAAATCCTGCAGGACCCAATACACCAAAACACCCACTTATAACAAAGTTTAATTTTTAGCTTACTCTCTGTGAAACTTCAGTGGGAGGTCCTTGAGGGCTACTTTGTAAGGAATTGCAGAAATTAAGAAGAGTATGATTATTACAAATAAATATAAGTACATTAGGTAAGATAATTGCAAACAAGACATGCAATCATGAGTGTTTAGTTAAATTAGAAGAGGTTTACTTATATATGAATCAAAGATAATAAGCACTAATTTATTTAGCTCATGGACAGCAAAGAAATCAAGAGGAATTAGAAAGGGGAGACAAAGTTGTGGCTCCACCACCAAGAGACACAGGTAACTTATTACATTTGGTTGCCATGTTTATTTATATGAGGTATTAATGGTTCACTTCCGTAATGGAAAATGTGTAATTCAGTGAAATTTTAAGAAGTGAAAAATATGATTCTGGGTTGAAATTCTGCCATTCAGCTGAAGAACAATTACAAATGCGGAAGATCCACATGTAAAATTTAAATTCTTAGCATGACAGGATGATTTATGAGGCACTGCAAAATTATTTTCTCCTGTCTCCTACATCCTTTTGCTTCTGCCTCTGTATAAGCTATTTGTTCTATTAAGTTCTATTTGTTACATGCCAGAATATTCCCCCCTCCCATGTTACCCATGGTGTTTGGCTTCTGATTGTCAGCTTGCTTAGGACTTCATGCTTCTAGGATTTAATGAAAAAGCATTGATGATCTCTAGAGTCCATAGACAATATCACAGAATGCATTTGCTAGCTTTTCCTGTTACAGACAGGATTTGAAGCACTGAGCTAGGTAATGAATTATCCGCAGAAACAGAGAACATTGTGACTCGGCAGGCTGGAAATCAGCCATGGTATTAAAAAGCAGCTGCAGGAAAGGTTTTTTCCATTCTTTCTTTCTTGTTCCACGCAGGAATTAATGTTCTTCTTGCACACCACGCATGATGCATAATGAGCAAGTGAAACATAAAAATAGTGCCAAGAATTGCATACACCTTGAGCACCAAAGCAGGGAGCTAAACCACCTGCAGTGTAGGACTGGTGTGACTAACGAGGCATGATGAGAGTCTGTTTCAAAAATGTGTAAAATGGAGGTTACTGGCTCTGTCTTACTTGTTTCAGTTACATACCTTTAATGGCATCTATAAATATGTGTGTTGAGGAAGACAGGTCTGCTTCTTCTGTCCTGTGTGGCTTTCCCTGGGTTAACCTCAGCCTTGCAGCACCTGAGGTGATGTGTGAGGAGTTTGGCTCTCCTTGGGTTTGCTGTTCATGACCTCACACAAGGCACCACAGAAATGTCACCTTATTTTTGGAGTAACCCTTTCCGGTTTAATTCAGCCTTGTTAATAAAAACAATCAGAAAAATATGGGTAAGTTGGATGTTTGAGAGTGTTAATCAATAGAGGAGGAAGGGAGGTTTCCTCAAATGTTGCAAGTGGCTTTTGTGGAGCCATAATATAAAACCTTTTCCAAGTTCAACAAAGTTCATATGGTATTTATCAAATGTTTTTTCACAATTGTACTGCTGAAAGGTAATTGGTAGCTGCTAAATGATCTAATAATCACCAGGCAGTTTCAGTGAAGTTCAACTCCTACTGGCTGGTTGGAGCCTTTATAATCAATTTATAAATGAACTTCTTTACATCTACTCTCTTTACTTTTGCAGTAAAATCCATAACATTCAAATATGATCTGTACTTTGCATTCCCTTAACTAACTCTTACACTTTCTAGCATAAAAAAGAAATGCATTTTATGGATTTTTTTTTTTCCTGCTGTGAACTCCTGTAACCATAAGAGTGATAACAAATGTGTGCTATTTGGGGTTTTTCCCTCATTTATTTTGCAAATCTCAAAGGCTGTAACTGCTGTGATGAAGACGCCCCTGGCTATGGCAGTTTTTCCATGGGTTTTGCAGAGGTGCACAGCACTGCTAAAGCGTGCCTTAGTTCCTGGTTCTGTGTGCAGAACCACCCAGAAACATCTGCCTTGTTTCCAGAGACCCCGGGGCAGTGCCAGGCTCAGCTGAGCACAGTGCAGGATTCCTGTTCTCCCCTGCTCTTCCCCAGCTCACTCCGGTGTCTCCCAGCACTGCCCAGATTGCAGCTCTGTGTGCCTGTGCCAGGAACCTGCTTTGCTGTCGACAGGCCACAGGCAGTGTTGGAAGAACCAAAATTTCATGCATTTTTATGAACTTCTCAGCGCTCCAACTAGCAATGAGTGCCAGTACTGTACTTGGTTAAAAATTGCTCCATACGCCCCATTTTTTCTTTCAAACCATTCCTGCTTTTTTTCTGAATTTTTTCTCTTTTGTAATGACCATCTCCTGTTTTCTATTCACAGGCTGGTTTACAGACCTACTGCTTCCTAGTGTTTGCTGGCATCTGCTTTGCAGGAGCGGCCTACCTGTTTTTTGTCCTGCCTGAAACAAAAAATAAGACATTTCATGAGATCAGCCAAGCATTTGCCAAAAGGAATAAAGTAACTTTAGAAATGCAAGAGATGAACCACTACCCAGGAGAGAAGAAACCAAGTGAAGAACAAGAATCAAACTTCACATCTTCAGTGGACAATGGGGAAACCGTAAAAGGGATTGTGTAAAGCCAGGATGTTCTTTCGGGGGATGGGGGAAAGCGTGCTCTTTTCATTTATAGCAGTGCACAACTTGTATATTTTATGAACATCATGAACCGCTTCTCCCTTGGAAATGTTCTAAGTGAGTCTGGGTGAACTCATTAGCAGCTGGGGTAACAGTTGAGACAGTGAGGGGTGGGAGGAGAGGCAACTGATGAAATAAATGAGATGGAGTTTCCTTGGCACCTGTGAAGCAAGTGCTGTGCTGAGTGGGATGGGGAATATAGACTTGGAGATGTGAAGGGCAGTGGGGAGCCAGGGTTTTGAGCAGCAGCTGGCTGAGCACCCCTGTGTGCTCACAGGGAGCTGGGCATGCTCTCTCCAAGAGGAGGAGGAGGAGGCAGAGATAAGGGAAGAGATCCCGGGGGGCTCTGCTGAGAAGCAAACCTGGAATGGCACCAGCATGTGTTTCTCCATGTTTCCCAAGATGTCATTCAAGCTGCCCATGAGAGCTGACACGACACTTCCCTCACCTCCCATTCCTTTTCTAGCTATTTTGACTTTCAGTTGCATTGTTTGAACATCTCCCACCTTCCCACAAATGGGCAGCTCTGGGCCCTGATGAGTTTCCTTGTCTCACTTGCAAATCCTGAATCACTAGGAATAGAGAGTTGTCTCTAGCTTCTGGGTTTGCTGGCACTGCATTTCTCTGAATACATATATTTACATAATTTTAATTTTTAACTTAAAAGGTTTAATATGAAAGGAAAACTAAACCTCATGGGGAAGTTTGTAATTTTGATAACAGTTTTTCTTGATCCCTCTAGGTACCTGGATGTTGAGGGATAATAAGGATTTTTAAATTAGATAGCTGTTTTATACGAATAGTCAGTAAGTCTTCGAGCTGCTCTCAGCTAGGAGTAAGACACAAGAAGAAAGTGCAGCATGTAGGTAGAGTCAACTGCTTCCACAAGTTAAATTTACTAATCTAGAAATTGATGAATTTGGAGCATTCTTGCAAGAAAATGTGCATATATATTCATATATGTATGCATATATGAATATATATATATATATATACATTCCAAGTATAGCTACATATTAATATTCAATGGCTTAATATTATTTGCTTTAATGTGAAGGAGGGTAGACAAAGATTGGATATTAGGAAGAAGTTCTTCACTGTGAGAGTGATGAGGCCCTGGGAGAGGTGGCCCTAAGAAGCTGTGGCTGCCCCATCCCTGGAATTGTTCAAGTTCAGACGGAATGGGGCTTTGAGCAATCTGGTCTAGTGGAAGATGTCCTTGCCCATGGTGGGGGATTGGAACAAGATGATCTTTAAGGTGCCTTCCAACCCAGGCTATTCTATGATTCTGTGATTTATATTCTTATATACGCACACACAATGGATAATTATTTTTTCAGTATTTGGGGGAGTTGGGGGGTGTTTGTATTTCTCCAAGTGATAAGCTGGTTTTTGTTTTGTTCTACACTGTAAATTACACTGTAAATTAAAATCAGAGATCCTAATGTTCAGCTGCTACTACTAATTTATGCATATAGTTTTATACTGTGATTTATTTGTACATGGCATATTTACCACAGACATTGTAAGCTGACCTAATAGGGCAATTTCATTACTAGATAATTGACAAAAAATTGATGGGGGCTTTTATGCCAAACTTTATGGTTGGTTGGGTTTTTTTGTGGCGTTTTTCTTTCCCACTGGAATAGATGTACAGCAGTAAGAATATGAAATATATATGAGAAAGAGAATTAAGAATGAAAAATAAAAAATGTATGGGTTTGGTGCTACTATTAAGAAAGAGAGCAAAGCGGGATTATTCCAACTGACAGTCATAAATGGAAGCTAATCAAATACTGTGGAGAAAACTGAAAAAAATATTATTATAATAACCACTTGTAAAATTATATATACAGCAAATGAAAATATTACCTTTCAGTGCCTTTAGTTCCCTATTCCAAGGGTTACATGAGCCTTGCTAGGTGACTGGCTATGTAAACACTGAGTGTGAATGCCAGACCTCCAGAAAATTTTATGAAAAATTTCTTCCTTTTTTGCCTGCAGGGCAAGACTGGCAAATTCAGATCCTCTCCTTCAGACTGGGAATTACCTTACTTTGTAGTTAGAGCTGGTAACACAATATGATGAGATGTGCTTTGAGCCAAGGTGGAAGATTGGAAACCAATATTATCAGAATGAGCAGAATTTAGCACTTAGTGCTGCTCATCAATGTACATTATAGACACTGTTGCAAATGTTATCATTGGATAACTTCCATTAAATATCATGCTGACCTAATACAGCAGTTGTGTCAGAAATCAGAACTTCTGCAACAAGATAAAATCATCTTACATTTGCTTACAGTTGCATTTGGAGCCCAGCTCTGAATGCATAGGTAGAAATGTTTGATAGAATTTCCTATCACAGCTCGGGGGCCTTGTACAGCATTAACAGCAAGGGGTCATGTTTTCATTTCTGCAGTCCCATTTCCCCCTCTTGTCCTGCCTGAGATGGGCACACACTTTCTGTGTGGCTGCAAAGAGCTGCTCCAGACTGGGTATGGTGTGGGACGGGGGTTCCACATCTCACCTGATTTTTGTTGCCATCCAAAGCAATTCCAGACCAAGCTCATGCTTTGTTCACTGGCCAGGGACGTGTCCTCTGCCTTGGAATGTGGAAGTTTCAGATATGCCAGTACTTCATTAACTTTCTCATCTCTGACCCTAATGAGAGCTTTGTGTTGTTCTAGAAGCTGTTCCACGCATTTTTTTCTCCATTGTTACACTGCTATAGTTTTTCCAGCAATGAGAAGGCAACATGGAAAATATCAACAACTTATAGTTTATTTTTTCTTGTTGAATGTATCTAATTGTCTATAGCCTGTGTGTTTGTCAGCAAGTGTTGTGTGGTGTCACATTCCCTTTTCCTGTCTGACACTGGGGTGAGGTACTGTGAGGTGGTGCTTGTATGGGTACAAGTCTGTGTGATCAACTATGTCCATGCACAGTGATTGCAAAATAAACATTTGGAATAAAATTTAAATTATGTGGATTTTGTTCTGGGTAAATCTGAACCTCCACATATGCACGTTTCAATTCCCTGGGTTTTTTATGTCCCAGTACAAGACTGTTCAGCCCTCTGTCTGGATAACCCAAGTCACTGTGAACTCTGCAGTTGGATGGTTGGGAATTACAGGAAGAAAATGATCAATGAAACTGTATATTTTTTTAAGAATTATTTATATTTTTCTTCTCAAATCATACTCCACACTTCATTCTTTCATATGTTCATACTGGGCTTCAGAAATAAAAATGCAGACAAGGATGTGAGGAAAATTATTAAAACTGGCTAGCAGTAGTAATAACTGCTCATAAGAATTGGTGAAACTGGTGAGGCTTTTTGCGGAAAGTTGTCATTTGCAATGGATGACTTTGAGTTGCTACAGCTCTACTTGGTGAGAAATTCAGTCAAGTGACTATTTCTGCTACAAGGATATGCAAAAACTGAAATCTGAAATATGTATAAAAAGTTGAATTTCATACTTCAGGTTTTGAAGCCAATTTTCACTCCACAAGGATCTGCTTTCTAGTGGGGGAAGATGTGAGTAATAATCCATATGGGATAATTTTCATCTTCAGAGTAAAATTTTAAAAAGTAAAACAAAAAAAAGTGAAAAAAAAGCCCACTCCAAAACCAACTCTTTCAAATTTGCTTTCTTTCATTTGACTATTTTTAAGTGCTTTTCCTTACAGACATCACCATATAAACTATTGGAGCTCACATCACCTTGCACAGCAGGAAGAACAAATCCAAGTAAAGCATTCTTGGGAAATGTCTGTGGACTTTTTCTTTCAGTCCAACTCAAGTAAACAGAGTTCAGATAAAATCTAAAAACCTGAAACACAGAGGCCCAAACTGAAGCAGGTTTGTTAAGGTAAACATTTGTGCAGTTAAAACACTCAGGTTTGAGTCCATACTTAATTCTCTCTACAAGTGATTTTGTTTGAAAGTGAGCTCTGTGGAAAGGTGAATTTCGTGGCAAGTGCTTGGTACTTGGACTCCTAATCAAGTTACACAGCTCAGTAAGCAATCATGCATAACCTGAGTCACTAGAGCCCTCTTCCTTGCAGGCTAAGCTGCACTAACCTTGTTTTTGCCATGACCTAAGACAAACACGGGCAGTGGATAATTGAGCTGCTTTTTGAGATGTTCCTGCTGAAGCTTCACTACAGTTAAACTCTTTTAAGCTTGGATTTTGAGTTTAAAAAAATATGCAAGGAAAACTTTCAGGAGACATTTACACAGTGAGTAGTGAGGTTAACAGGAATCTTCTCCAGTGGTTTCAACTACACAGGTGTACCCAAGAAAAACGTGGTATACATACAGGAATGCTGAGTTTAGCAAACCTAGCACATTTTTATCTTCTTTAGATAGTAAACCAGTGGCTTGTTTTCTCAGTCTAAGAAAATAATTGTATAATTCACTGGCTGCAAAAGCACCAATCTGAGGCATTTCTTCTGAGTTTGGGAGCAGGTTGGTTGGTTGGAGATTTGTTGAGGGTTTTTTTTAAGAGAACACTTTCAGTCTGGCTCATACACCAAAGCAGAGTACCAAGAATGAGACTGCTGGAGTTGTTGGTTGTCTTAAGATTCTTCCCAAAAGGTATAAAGCCAAATGTGACTCTGTCAGATCCTTGAAACACAATCCATTAAGAGCATGATCTTGCAAATGTAGGGGGTGATTTGTCTGCTGCTGTGTAAGGTGCCATGCAGAGACATTGATTTTTGTTTCATTTTCTCTTGGTCCTCTCAGTTAAAAAAGTCAGTCAAGCTAAATGCAATGCTCATCTCTACATTTGTTCCATCTTTTGTTTCTGACTTGTTCCACCCAATTATATAAAAAATTTTACAGTTCACACTTGAAAATCAAAAAGCAATAGGTACTTAGGAAAAGAAACTTGCCAAAGACTACAAAAGTGATAAATACAATTTTCTCTACAGGCTGGCATTTTCAAAGATGAATTCAAGATTTAATCCCTTAAATCCAAATTTCATAAAAAATTCATCTCTTTAAATTAAACTCTACTGTCTATGTATATGTGTATATATAGAGAGACTTTTGTTATCCTATGGAAAAAGTTCAGCAGCTTTAATTCTTATACATAAAATAAACTGGACCATTTGGATACTATATCAAGTTGTGAATTGGACAGGTCAGACACACCAGACACTTGCATTAACAAACTTAGCTAAAGTTTCCATGATCTTAGACTTGGAAAAGTTGTCTAGCAAGGCTGTCTCCTTTTGGCCAGCCTTAGATTTTTCATTTTCCGCTTTTCTAGACTGTTAGGGAGAGACTATGAAGCTAATTTGCTTAAATTTACTTTGAGGCATCAAAGGAAAACATCAAAACTCTTTTCATCCAACTAGAGAACAATTTGTATTGAAGACCCTCAGGAAGCAGCAGGTATTAGCATAGTGCTCAGGCTAAATAAACTCTTCCAGGATCTAGTGATGCATTTTGTACACCAGAATCTCAGAATTTCAGTGGGGAGATCTCACTGCCACCCCTCCCTTCTCTTCCCTCTCTTTCCCCACCTTCCCCTGACATGGGCTGTGCTTTGCTCTAGGTGTGCCAGCACATCTTTAGAAAGAGCATTCCATCAGCTCAGAGTGAAAGAGTCTTGAGAGGCAGAAAGGAGGGGTCAGCTCTCAGTGGGATGAAGGGGTGGCACTATGCAACCATGGCTCTCCTGCAGACAGGTACAGCTGCACTTTGCAACTTCTTTTATGGACTTTAAACTGGCCATGAGCAATGCAACCACAAGGAAAGTGGAAGAAACTCTGGAGTTTGTGACAGGGCAGCTGCTGGCAGATGAAATCTGTGTCTGAGAAATCATCCAAGATGATCTCTTAGACATTGCTGCTCATGATTTAATTACTATGAAACATGTAGGTATCTGCAGTATCACTCTGAGATCACTGCTCACTGTGCAAAAGTAATCAAACAAAACAAAAGGCCAAAGGGATAACAGTGGACATCACAAAAAAAATATAATATTACAAACTAAGTTTTCTAATGGAATATCAGTTAAGAATAAACATGGCCAAGAAAAACAGGATGCAAGACAGATGGCTTATTTTTTAGTACATGACACCTATTCAATGAGCAATTAAAAATTAATTTAAAGGTAATAGAAAAGTTCAGAAATGCATAACCAAAGCTGTAGAATTCATTAGCACAAATTAGAATTAATGAATTTTTATAGGAGTAGATATTTAAATTAATAATAACTTTCATATTTACATTAGGCACTTGAAATAAAGAAAAGCTGTAGATAATAACAGCTAAGAAATTTCTCTAAGGAGCTGAATTGCCTATAATTGGCCATTAGATCACACTCCCATCTTCTTTTCAGATGTACAGTTAAATTATGGACACAAGCTGATGCTTTTCTGGGCTGCCATTCAGGCATGCTGTCACAATTCTTACAGGTTGCAGTGAACACTACTTCTTGACCCAGATGACCACAGAAGTGGGGAAACTCCAGCACTACCCAAAAAATAAATAAATAAGATATGAGGAAGGTGGGGAAAGAGGAGGGGAAAGAAGGGAATGTGGCAATGAGACCTCCCCACTGAAAGGCTGGGAGATTCTGGTGTACAAAATGCATCACTAGATCCTGGAAGAGTATATTTAGCTTGGCCCAGCCTGAGCACTATGCTAATACCTGCTGCTTCCTGAGGGTCTTCAATACAAATTGTTCTCTAGTTGGATGAAAAGAGTTTTGATGTTTTCCTTTGATGTCTCAAAATAAATTTAAAGAAATTAGCATATAAGTCTCACATTGTTTCAAAAAAACCCAAAATCCAAGCCCCAAGTTGCCCAGGGAAGTTTTCATATTAAATTTGAAACATTATGCCTAGTGATAACCATTGGGAGATTGTGTTCTGAACTTTTTTAGCTCTTTTAAAAGCTTTGCTACATTTCATTAACTCATATTTTGCACAGCTGTTACTTGGTAAAAGTTTCAACCTTTTCTCATTGTTCACAGCCTTGGCTAATCAGCATGAGAAATGAATGTTAGTAAGACAAAAAAAAAATTCTAACAATTCAGCAAGAGTAGGAGGAGAATCAGCATGTCTGGCAAGCTTGCATGTTCATTATGAACCAGGACAGCTAGCTCTGATTATTTAAAATTGCAAAAACTTAATAAGTATGTTTTCTAAATATTCTCAAACTATTTACTAAATAGGGTCAGCTTTGTACTCCAGAGTACTGACTTGAAGAGCTGGACTCCAAATGGAGTAGGTGATGTTGGCACTCGGGATGTGGGTGGTGCTGAAGAGATGATCACTCTGGAATTCAAAATTGTTCTCAGCTCTAAGACAATTTTTGGTTTAAATTTAGAAGTGACAGAATATTGTAACACATCATACTTGCTTTCACTGTCATTAAGTTACTCAATACTACTTAAAAATCAGATTTTGAAGGCAAAGACATTTCTTTTATCTTTCAAATGAAAGACATTGACAATGCTTTCTTCTGTACACAATATTAGATCATGGACACTTATTTGATGGCCACTTTTGATCAGTGTCTTGGTTTGAAAAGACAGGAGTCTGTGAAGGAAGGCAAAAGCCTTCTGTGAAATGGAGAAGGTAAACTCCCTCCCTCCGAATTATCACAACTTCAGAATTAAAAAAGGCTCTCAGGCAAAGATATGGGAAACGGGAATAACAGTTCTTTACTGGAAGAAAAAAAAAACTAAATAACAATGTAATTTAACACAAGCAAAACAACCACTGGCAGAGTGAGAAAAACCTGACACCCTGAGAGGTCAGAGTGTTGATAGTAGTCCAGCCAGATGGTGGCTGCTCCTCCTGGAGCGGCGATCTGCAGAAGGGTGTAGATCCCTTCCGAAAATGCGGCGAAGGAGCAGCTGGGCCTTGGTTTCTGATTCCTCTGGGAAATCCAGCGAAGAAGGCTGTCTGTGGTCTCAGAAGTGCTTGTTTTATGGTGGCAGGGATGCTTGG